GGCGCCCCGCGCGCGGCGGGGTGTCTGCGGGGCTGTGACCCTTCCCCTGGCCCCTGCTCAGGGGATGGTGCCCCCGATCGTCCCCCCCCTTTTCCCCAGCCTTGCCCCGGCCTGGCCACAGCACAGCGGGGTTTTGGGAAGCAGTGAGACGCACACAGCTTCAGCGGGTAGCGGGTTTATTCTCCTCGGGCCAAACCGATTTTCTTTACAGGCGAGAGGGCACCCCTGGGAGGGACAGAGAAAGACCCCTGGCTGCTTTTCCTCAGCAGAAGAGGGGCCAGGGCTGGGGCTGCGTGCGGCAGGGTCAGGAGCCCATCTCCTCCCTCAGATGGTGCAGTTGCTTTCTCCAAAGCGCCGGCATTTCATCACCTTCAGGTAGGTCTCCACCTTGTGCAGGTCCTTCTTGAAGCAGGACAGCAGGCCGTAGTTCTTCAGCAGGGCCTCCTCGTTGCGCAGGTGGATGTCGAATTTGTCATAGGTGGATCTGAGGAGCGGCGGCCCGCGGGAGCTCCGATCCTCCAGCTCCTGCAAGGAGGACCTGATGTCAGTGGGTGGAGAGGGGTGCCGAGGCACCCTCGGGGAGGAAGGACGAGGCTGAGCGGAGCAGGCAGGGGAGGTCAGAGGAAGATGGAGGTGGAAGGGGAGCAGACGGGCCTGGGACTGAGCGTTATTGAAGGGGCCTCATGCTGGGGGTCCTCTTACGACACTGGGACATTCCCTTGTGTCGCGGCCCCCCTCCAATCCGTCCCTGCAGCCCTCCGCAGTTTTCTTACATACTGTGACTCTCTGTTCAAAGTCAGCTGTTCTTCACCATTTTCAGGGAAGTTTCAAGTCCCTTTTCCCATCTAGCTTTTAAAGGAAGTTGTTTTTTTCTCGTACGACCTCGTATGTCAAAGTACTTTCAAGTCTATATGGTTACAAGAATAGCAATTGTGCAGGGATGATGTTGCACAAACACAATTTCATGTACGTGAGACTGTCAGCAAGAAGCAAATGGGGCCAAATGCTGCAGGAAGGGAAGACTGTGTCTTTTGGGGTCTTCAAAAATGTGGAGACTCACAGGGTTTTTCCATAGCAACCCTAGCCAAGGAGATGGGGAACTGAGCAAGTAATTCTGTCTTTTCTCCCACTTTCCTAGTGAACAAAGCTCTAATCCAGACCCAGGCGATGTGCATCTGAAGCTCAGGGATCTGCAATCTGCTACCCCTCCTGCCCTGCTTTGCTCACCAGCTGGCTCAGCAAATAGAACTTTTTTGGTTAAGTAAACATTGCCTTAAACGGATGAAATGTGATTATCTGTTTGGTTTGCATATACCACTTCCCAATGCCCTAGCACATATCAAATTGGAGATCAAAATCTGGAAATGGAACTGATACATATACTTGCTTTCTCCAGCTCCTCTCTTCTAGGAGAGGAGATCTCCTTCTACTCTCAGGGCCGGGCTTTCAGGGTTGTTTAGATGCTTGAAGATGTAAATAAGTGTCCAGACTCATTTCTCACAGATCTAGGTATCAGAGCTCTAGCTACATTGTGATGCTGGCAGATAGACTTACTTATAGAGTGAAGTCATCTGACAGGGGATCCTGACAGACAGTAAGCAGTTTCATTTAAAAAGACAAAAAAGAATTTGAGTGACCTTTCTGAAGATCATTCTCTCTCTCTCAGCTGTCTAGATGCTCTGTTACTGTAAAACTCATTTAAGAGAGAGACATCAGAGTATGGGCTTCCATCTGTACACAGACTTACAACACTTGTCTTTATAAAATGTCATTAGTCTTTAAAGTCATGTTGCAGAACCCTGCATCATTTACTTCCCTTGAAAGTATTTTGTGTGGTGATGTAGCAAACATTCTTACATTGCTGTTTGTATAGTAGATGTAACCAATTGAGTATTCTTTGGGGTTAGGTTTGGAAAGACTTTGTGCCCCTCCTGGTCTGTGCTGTTTTCTGAGTTATTATAGCAGTGTTATTAATGTCTGTTATGTGTTTTCTTATACTCCCCAGTGAAGAAGCGTGTGCGATGGAGTGCCATGGTCTGATTATGTTAAAAAACAAAGTTGAAGGGATGCCACTGGTCTTTAGAGTGAAGGTGGGGAGGTTTGTCATGATCTTTGGATCCTGGGGAAGACCATGAGAGCTCTGTGTCCAGGAGATCTCTGATATTATGTAATCATGATTCATGCTTCAACTTACCCTCATCAGAGCTTGGATCCCTTCTTCTAGGTCCTTTAGTTTTTCGTAGACTCTGTCTGAGGTGCCAAAAACTAGATTGTTTGTGAACACCTTGCTTAGGTATTGCACTGGGGTCAACCAGGACTGGATAAGAACCAGTGAAAACCGAAGAAGCTCCATGTCCTGAAATGAAAAAAACAGTGGTCAAAGCCGTGCAGATGAATTGTGGAGTTACCTGTATGTCCTGATCCCTCTGAAATAGCCCAAAGGTGAGCCAGAGATGTCACTGCTTCTGCAGCTTTGGCAGATAAAAATCTGTTTGTAAGCTGAGGAGTATCACCCAGAAATCTGTCCTGTGCAGACAATATTTTTTTCTCCCCCTTGATATGGGAGCATGATTTATAGCCTAACTCAAAAGACTCTTTCTTTCTGCGTGCAGGATGTGTACAGTGAAACGGAAGAGGAAGAACAGTACCTCAAGAAGTGCTGGAGTTGTTAAACCTTACAGATGGTAACCCTCTGTTGCCGTATTGAAACGCAGTTGGGCTCTTAAAATAGGTCTGTACTTGCCTGGGGGAGAGAACTTACTGATTTCTGCTGGGCATCATCCTTCCAAAAAAACAGGAATGGTTTCTGAGTAACAAAATGCTGACTGGGAATTTTTGTTGGCGTGTCTCTGTTCCTCCGGAATATAGGTGCGTTCCTGTGGGGACATCCCAAATACACTCAGATCTCTTGTTGCCTGTGTACTGGCAGAAGACCATAGACACTTTTCTCAGGCTGTTCTGAATGGTTACTCTTTGCAAAAAAAAAAAAAAAAAAAAAAAAAGAAAGAAAAAGTGTCTCTGTGCAGGACTGTCAAATAGGAAGCAGGAGTTCACAAGTTAATAGTTACTGGAACTAAAGGTCTTCCTCTTGTTAAGCCAAAGGGCTAATATAAGTGCACAAAGTATTCAGACTAGGTTCTGCTTAGGAATAGATGACCCCCATGGACAGCTCTCACCAAGGCAGACATGCTCATGTCTACTGATGGCAATAGCAGAGACCAGATAGTTTTAAACACTCAGAATTGGTGAGGGCCATAGGTGACCAACTCAGAAAATCTTGCAAAGAGGTCTGGCCATAATCTGACCTGTCTTACTAAGGCGTACTCTCCTTACCCCGAGCTGACAGAGAAGACACCGATGGTTAAAAATGTCTCTGTTTCTAGGAACTTATATTGGCCCGGGGTTGGCGCAGCCATGGCACAGTCTCCAAACCACCAAGCTAATGAGCAGGAGATGCTCCGATACCGCAACACTTACGAACTCTTTGTATGTCTCAGCAGCCAGGAGGTGAAGATGCTGAGCCCTCAGCACAGCGTTGGCAAACAGGTTGGAAAGGGGCATGGCTGGGAAGGTTGCAGCTTCCTTTGGCCACTGCAATCCCAGTGTGATCACAGCAATGAAGAGAGGAGAAAACCACGACCCTACAGCAAAAAGGAGGAGAAAGATGTTAGCAGTCCTTTAGCGACTGTGATGAGGAGTGGGTGGCCCCTGTGAATTTCTACTTGTCCTTGCCGGCTGACGACTCATCTCACTGAGCGTCTTGTTTGTCTGTAAGTGAACTTAGCTCTGTAGCTCCCCAAAATCAAATTAAACCCCCTCCTCTTTCACTAGACGTGCTCTCAAGTCTCATATTGCTCCCAGTGTTATTAGCAGTAATTTTCTGGCTGAAGAGTCATCACTGTTCCTTGAAAACTAGAGCACATCCCTGCATTTTTCCCTAACATGGTCATCATGTTTTTCTTCAGGCCTTGGCCCTATGAGGAGAGCGCAGTGCAATCATCATTGCATGAGTGAGCAGGGGACAGTGAGTACAAGGTAACGTCCCAGGGAGGTGAGGGACTGTGAATAGCTCACTTTAGCCTTGGCTTACATCTGACACGTGAAACCTGCTGCCTGCCTCCACTGGGACAAGAGCTGATTTCCTTGCCCGTGCTGTGACTAATGTACTTTTTGTTTTCTGATGGACACACCTGTAGGATTTGGTGGTCTTTGTCAAGCCTAAAGGTTTTAATCCATGGCATTTAACTCATGCAAGTGTCCATCTATGCTTACTAAGACCATAAAAGATAATCTCAGCCAAATATCTTTCAGTGGAGGAATACTCTGGGGCATGTAGGACTTGGACATCTGCATTAGACATCATCCTAATCCCTGGTTTAAGCCTTGAATGTGAGTTTTAATATCCCTGCTAGAATTTTTGTTAGTGGTAACTACTATAACTGCAGCTTCCCTTGTTCTTCGTGTTCATGAGCCTTTCTTAAGCCTTGACGAGTTTTGGCTAATTACTATCTACGTCAATTCATTAAAGTCACACTGTAGGGAATTGTATTCCATTTCACTGATTTGTAAATCACCAGATTTTAATTTAGGGCTGTCACTGAATGTGTATGGCCCACCACAGCACCACCCCATGTGTACATTATCTCCCATCACCCTAGGCATGCAGCAGCATTGGCAGTCCTTTAAAATGGAAATAAAGAAAATTACCTGGAGCCATTTCTGTCTGATGGGTTGCTCAGGTGTTGCTTGAAAGTGAACGTTTCCTCCTTTCCTCCAGGCCAGTAATGGTAACTGTTGAGCCACCCTTTATATAGTAGGGGATCTGTTTAAAATGTATATATGTGTTCATGATCACAACAACCTCTCTATATCTTCTCCATGCATAAATGCACGTGTGTTCACAATGGTGCTACCTAATTGTAATCATTTATACATAGATGTAAAGGTTGGGGAGGATGTTTGCCTAGGGATAAAATTAGTGCTGAATGATTTCTCCATATTCCACTGTTTATGGCAAATAAATATCTTATCATTGTTGGAATACCCAACCCAAATCAGATGAGCTCTTTTACACAGTGGAATTTCTCACAGTGAATAGAAAACTCAGCTGGTTTCCTACTTGCTCCATGCAGGCTCTGACCCACAGTTAACAGGACTAACTGGTCAGTTTGGGAGACTTCTGACATAAAGCAAGTGGGATTTTTTTCTGTTTATTTTTAGTGAGGATAGAGCTGGATGGATGTTGCCAGATGAATTATTTGACTGCCATGTAACTTCTTTCATGCTACCAAAATTTCACAAATTCAGTAAATAGTTTCATTGGAAAAAGGAAATTTTGAAGAAGTTGAATTTTTTTTTAAAAGAACATTTTTTTATCCTTTGAAGAAATGGTTTGTTTCACATCTTCAGTCAATGTATTAATTTTTGAAAATAAGGAATTAAAAGTACCTGAGGACAAATGTAATTTTCCCGATATGTCTGCTTAAGCATTGAACTGAGAAAGTCATTTGTGAAGCTCTACTTTGGGAGAACGTGAAATGTAAAACACAGAGCGTGACTGTTTCCGAGCAAAGATGGAATAAAATCGCTTGAGTGAGCTGGTTCATAGGTTTGATGAAGAGCTCTCGTACCCATGTGCTTCTTTGGATGCCAACCTCCCAATGCAAATGCAGATCCCAGAGCTCTGGGAGGATTCTCATATCTTCAGCTAGGCAAAGCTCTGAAAAGGACCTAGTTATAAACCACCTTCTGCTCTTTGTGTGAGATACAAATGTGAAATATCTGTGGATTAAGCAGAGGGTTGGTGTGGAATTGAGGGTGCAGAGGAGGTGGAGGAAGAGCAGCGATCACAGCATGTCTCTCCTGGCCTTTGAGCAGAACGAGGCAGGACATGGGATGGGCAACTCCAGGGAGGCTTAAGGACTTTATTGCCCCCAAGGCAGTTGCCCCAAGCCACCCTACTCTGACCTTTTGTCCAGGGCTCTTCTCAGGGACAGTCCACTTGTTGTGGGCGGTGAACTTGGTTCCCCCTGCCCTGGATTTGGCCTGCTCCCCTGGAGTGGCTCCGATTTCCACAAGGCAGCATCATCCCTGGAGCAGCAGGAGCAGAGGGTGCGAGAGCTGGTTAATAAACATGCCAGGGAGAGCACGGTCTGTTCCGAGAAGCCCCTTGGTGTTTGCTTGCTGGAGACATGGTGGTGTCACAGCGTAAATGTCAGTCCCTAGAGAAAAGAGAACAGTGGGTCCTGCTGCTATCAGGTATCTGGTCACCCAATAGCCAGCAACATCTGGGTGTGTTTTTCTATTCCAGATTGTGTTTAAATATGTCAATATTTGTCAGAGATGAGCAGAGCAGCAGGCACCCCAGCCCAGCGTAGGCTCTGCTCCCTGGTTAATGATAACGCTCCACCACTTCAGCTGGATTCATACAGCACCTTGCACCTGAATCATTACCCATTCCTCGATGCCCTAGTACTTCTCTAGTTCTGTTTGTAAAAGCATGGTGATAAACCAACATTTTTTGTATTGCAGTCAAGCACGGGGATGCCAGGATGTTCCAGACTGTGTTGTGTCCCTGAGGCCTGGTTTGTCCCTGCTTACATCACCTCTAGGCATTAAAAGAAGCAGAAGTTTTGTGGAGAAGGTAGTGCATGACTGTCAAATTCTGGGCTGGACGAAGACATGCCACTGGCAGAATTACTGTTGCATAAGTATCTCTCAAACATCAATTTGGCCTTTTTCTAGCTTTCAAGTGCCCACATTTGCCTCATTAAGCAGCGTTACACTCTAATTTCCAAATTCCTTTTCTCTTTTGAAAGAGAAAAAAACCCCTGAATTCTCTTCAGGATGGTTCCCCCATCCACCCACCTTGCCTTGACCATCACCAGCAGCATCAGAACAAGTGAAACAGCCTTTCTTGCAGGCACATATACTCTCCGGATGCTCCTGACTCCCCAGTCTGGGGTGAATGGATGGGGGGGGGAAACCTTCCTAGCACTGTGCTGGGGAAATTGGAAGCTGCTGGGTGAGCTGGAGCTCCAGTGACCTGGGAGCCAGGTGCTGGCCTGCAGCCAAGGCTAAGCAATTTGGTGGGCAACGATGTGGTTGATCCAGGTTGTAGGCAGAGGTTAACCACCTCTGCTAGCTCAGTGACTCCTAAGGTAAATAGTCCTTTTCAGGTCGAACTGGTGGTTTTATTTACTGGAGCTAGAACTGCTCAGCGTATCCTCATGGTTCCATGGAGAGGAAAGGGATCAGCTCCATCAAACACATTTCAAAATGGTAGATGCAGGACTGCACCCCAGTGGGGCTTGAAAACAGCTGTCTGCCTAATCATCCTGCTCATCGTGGGGATACAAAGCAGTTAACAATATAGAGCCTGAACTGTGTGTACTGAAATATATTTATTTACATTAAATGCATTTTAAATACAAGCCTACATTAATATATAAATTACAACAAACCCTGACTCTAGCCTCACTAGAAACTAACCTAGGATTTTTAAAATAAAACCCTAACAGTACAGAAATTTGTTTCTGGCATTTTAAAGGAAGGCAAGGCCCTGGGCTAAGCAGGTAGCTGAGCAACAGAGCAGAACTGGGGTCGCTGAAACTGTTTTTGACAAAAGTGGCTTCCTCTCCAGGTGCAAACAGCAGATTCTCCTTATTTCATATTGTTCAGTTAAGTCAGTTCAGTGAGTTATTTATACAAAGCTGAGAAAACAGTTGGGAATTGGGAAGGCCGGAAAAGTTGACTTCCTCTTCCATTTCCTAAATGAAAACAAGGCATGAAGGGATGAGCTCTGCTAGTTCTAAAATCTTGGCAAAAGTGGAAACCAGGAACAGTCAGTTCACTTCTCCCACTGTGAATACTCCTTTAATTAATCAATTTTATAAGTGAAACATATTTAAGCAATATTTATATACATATGCATGTAACAAATTTAGGATAGTTTTATTTAACTAATAAAAATCACCCTTAAAATGCTGTTTGTGTGCTATTTAGATTGAATTCATTTCCATTAAGGTGATTACCAGTAAACAAGAACCATCCTGTTCCCTGCTGAAAAGCCCTGTTTCCTCCTATTTTCGTCCTCACTTATTTGCTGGCTGTTTCAGGAAGTGGAGCAGTCCTATCTGCTTCTCCTTGGGGGTCCCAAACATAGATATAGCCCAGAGGCCCTGGGCTCTGCCAGGGCAGGATTACTCATTGCTCTTAAAAAGGAGATAGTTTCAGCCACACAAGCCGTATGGCTTTTCAGGTGGGTCAGGTAAATCAAAGAAAACTACACATTCAGGCTAGGATCCTTTCCATAACAAGGGACACATGCATGCAGTCTGAGCTGTTCACTCACAGCTGCTTAATGTCATGCCCAATTTAGGTGATTTCTTTTTTTTCCTAGTCAATCCTGCAAGACAGCAGTAGTCAAGTTTTTTTATACCAGGTCTCTTGTCCCCAGATGCATAGCCATGGGACCCTGTAGCAGCTCCATGCCCACTAAGTATGTTAATCTTTTGAGAGTTTGCTCTGTTCCTGCAAACATCTGCACCGAGCAAAGACAGTGTGTGCCCCTCAGCCAGGCTGGCCAGGGAGGCTGACACCTCTATGTCCCTGCCGAGGGTCAGGGTGGTCCTTTCCTGGTGTATCCAAAACACATGCAGCTTCTCTTCTAGGGAACAAATTGCTCTTACTGCTCCTTATTCCTGCTACCAGAGCCCAGAGCGTCCCGTTGTCACTGGCACCAGGATTATGGGACACACCAAGACTGGCACGGCAGGATGGAGCTAGGATGCCTAGAGCAAGAGGAAGGAGGATGTGAATTTACCTATTACCTTTATTAGGACTTCAAAAAGCAGTTGGACATTTGTGTCCCACAGTTTACAACCTTTACATAGGTCCTGAGGTCACACATGGCCCTCACCAAGGGGGACCTCCTCATGACGCAGGCCAGCTCTTGTCTGGAGAAGAGCAAGTGCAGCACAAGAATCTCCAGGCCAGAGCTGTCTCCCAGCCTTTTCTGTTGCCCTTGGATAGAAAGAGGCACTTCTGGAGGATCCTCCATCTAAGACAACTGCCACCTTGGCCTGCTGGACACAGCTATGACTTGACAGCTAACTTGAACACCTAAAGGTGGTCCAAAGTCTACCTGGCATAACACCCACCGTGCCAACCCAAGGGGTGCTGCTCACCTCAACTCTTCTGCCAGGAGTGTGGGGAGGGGCTGCAGTGGGGTGTTGCAGCTCAGGAGGGTCCATGCAGCACAAGGAGAGATCATGCCTGGCCCTTGTGTGGACCTCTCCTTGGGGACATCAGGGCCGGAAGAGCCCCATTGCCCAGTCTGGTACACTTGTTGCATTAAACACTCAGGAGCTCAGCGTGTTGATGTGAGGCTGGCTGAGGTTTTGGGGCTGTTTGTTTCTGGGGGACTGCAGTTGGCTATTAATTTCTACGTATGCATTAGGGGTTAAGCAACTGGGCTAAGAGCAACACCTGGGGCAGGACAGTCTTAGCAGGCATGGTCCAGACATGGCTGTGGATGTGGCAAAGCAAGCATCGATGGGCAGCAGGGCTCAAGCTCTGCGCAAGGCTACCAGAGACTGCATGCTGCGCGCCAGTGACTCAGTCCATGATCCCAGCCCGGGATCAAGGCACCTGTGATAGCCACAGCCCAGGGCAGGAGCCGTGGTCCCGCCTCCTTGGGGGCCAGCAGGTTGACGGCGGGTGCAGTGGGGAGCGGTGCCATGGATGCCTGCGTGGTGGTGGATGCAGGGCCCCTCACTCTTCGCCCGGATGCTCCCCAACTGTCCATTTGGCCTTCACATCCCGGAAAGGAGTAATATCCTCGTAGGTGGCCATCTGTTCTACTTCCAGGCCCTGTGGCAAGAGAAACGAGGCTGAGAAACATGATGGGGAGCCCAGCCATGGCATGTCCCCCCTTCCATACCCGTGAGCAGAGGCCTATCTCCAGATGATCTCCCCAGAGATCAGGGCAGCCTCTGAGAAGAGAAAAGACGGAGACGGAAGGCTGCAAGTGCTTAGAGCTTGGCTTGGTTTTATGGGAAGCTCTTCAAGGTTGATGCACAACAGACATTTGGGAGGAAGATGCCCTGGTACACTCTGCAAGGGTTCGTGGTACCCAGCAGACACCCACAAAGACACCATCAGCTATTTCAACGCTCAAGTGAATATAATAGAGGTATTTCTATAATTAGTGTAGTATTACCTCATAGGTGTGATCCTCCTCAGGGCTGTCCTTGCCTTCACCCTGCGGGAAGGAGAGTCACAGGTTGGGTGTTACCATCACCCACAAAAGCACTGATAAAGGTTATGTCATGGGGCACATGGGACTCCATGCAATGTCTGAAAAACCAGTCCTTCCCCATCCCCATCCCTAGTGGTGTCCTCACTGCTTTGTCCAGGTCCCAGGCTTGTGGGAGACACTGCTATGAAGAAGGCAATGGCAAAGCTGGGGTCATGCCCACTGCTGGAGACACTGTCACTCACTTTATCTAGGAAGAGAAGCATGGGGACGCTGATGAAGATGACCAGCAGGATGGACTGGATGATGATGATAGCGTCTTTCAGAGTGTTCCTGCTCTGGACCTGCTGGATGTTGCTGTTACCTAGGAGCACAAGGAGAGTCCTGAGGCCCATCTCAGTGCTAGGCTCCCAGGGAAAGGGGACAAGCTCACCATGGCCAGGGGTTCATGCCCAGGCAGATGTGATGGCAGAGCTGGGGGGGTAGCTTGGCAACATGCCTTCACCCTCGGGAGAGATCTGAGAACTGCAGAAACCTGCTGAGACTGGCCTCAGGAAGGGACCAGCTCTGCAATGAGATGTCCCAGGCAGGACCCGCCCCTGACCAGGACCAGCAGAATGTCATTTATTAGGGAAATGCAGTCCCTAGGATGTGTTTATGTAGGATGGATGAGCCAATGCAAACTAGGAAGGTTATTTGTCTGCTTGCTTGGCTGACAGCAAGCAAAGAAGAGCCTGCGGTGCCATGGGGCATCCGGACTTGTATCCAAAGGGGTCTCACTGGCACCAAGGAGAAGTGGATGCCCAGGGGTGTGATATGGGGCTCATATAGCGTGGGAAAAGTGGGAGTGCATGCCTGGTAAGAGCATTTCCTGGGGCATGAAAGTTGGAGGATGTGCAGAGGTGAGCAGGGCGGCTGGGGTGCTCTCACTTACCCACGACTCTGAGCTCAGTCCCGCATGCATGTGCCTGCTTCTTCTCCTCAGTGAGGTTTTTACTGTCGCACACATAGATGCCATTGTCCTCGTAGGTGATCCTGAGGATGGTGAAGTTGATGAAATTGTCCTTCCACTCTATGCTGAAGCGAGAGGTGCTGCCATCCAGCTTGTAGAGTTGGTTGCTGTCCTCCACTTTTTTGTACCACTGCATGTGCTGGGGCTCGTGGGAATAACAGATGAAGTGGACGGGCATGTTCCTCTTGGCCACCACGTAGCGCAGGTGCTGCTGGGACTTAGGGCACGTGGTGCCTGCCAGGGGAGAAGGGTGCTCACAGCCTGCTCCCCATCTGAGCACAGCCCTCCCTGGGGCATCCCTCAACCAATGCAACCTGGGAAGAGAAGAAATTGCTCCCCTCTTGCAATTAATACCAGCAACCACTGGGCTGGGCACATGAGTGTGGGGGTCCCAGCACCCCAGGGAGGATGTGGCTCCACCAGGGAAATGGAGAAACTACAGCTCCCATGAGACACGCCCAGCATCCTCAATTAAGAGCTTTCCATTTTGATGCTTCTTTGGAGCATTTGTCTTTGTTTTGATGAAGCAGCAGCATTTGCAGTGGCTTCCCAGAGACTTCTTGTGAAAACATTCCTTTAGTGGAAACTCTTTTTTTTTTTTTTGGTAGAAATAGCTTCCCTGGGATATTTTTTGCCTGCTGCCAACCTGGGATATTTTTTGGCTGCTCCCACTCCTGCCTATGTACAATTAGTAGCTGCCCTCCTAAAGTGATAAAGAAATGTATTAGTTTGCTATTTACTCAGGATCCCTTCACAGGTAACGTCTTCATTTCCAGGCACAGTTTCATGGCCTTTAATAATCACTTATGTGTGCTCAAAATTGTTAGTTGCCTTTATACGTTCATCATAATTGATGCTTTCCTCTAAACCACAACTTAATTCCAGCTGCTAATTTAGCTGCCAGACTTGATTTTCTTGCATTTTTTTTCATTCTGATAATTAAAATGTGAGTGATAAAAGGGATCTGTTCGAGACTGTTGAAATCAGCTCTCTAAATTAGCAGCTGTAAGCAGCTTACTGCTTCATAGAAAAACCTCTACTAAGAGCTCCCCTGCCACCTTGTAGGAGATGAACCAGGGCCCATAGCTCTAGCATTTAAAAGCATTAGAGGCAAAGCCCCATGGAGTTCAGTTTATCCTGTTAGTCTCAGCTCAGATGCAAAAGTGCTGCCCATCATGCAGTTATGGGAGCTGACACGCACTATGAAGCCTTTGCGAGGACAGACCCATGTCTTCAGCTGGCTTTTCTCCTCATCACTAGTGCATTTTTTTTTGTATTGTGTTGTATTTGGTATTTTTGCTGTATTTTGGGCTTTTGCCTGTATTTTGCTCCCAGAGCTGAATTTGGGTTGCAGAATTCATGATTAATATCCTGAGAATGGGAATGGCACAAACTGTGCGTGCATGAAATGTGCGTGCCTGGTCCTGAGCTGTCCTACATGCTCTGCAAACACGAAGGAAAACTACTTGGGTTCTTGGGAAAGCCAAAACTGATCTCAATTTACAAAAGGAGAGCTAGACACAGGGCTGGGAAAAAGCTGTGGAGGAGATCACAGCCTGGAATTCGCCCCCACATTTTCAGGTACAATTTTAAAGGTTTGCCCAGTTAACACAGTGCTTGGGGTAAATGCTCTGCCAACAATTTTAGTGTGAAGTAGGTGGAAGAATTAGGCACGTGGTTTATGATCAGGGCCGTGATGCAGTCAGATAAGGCATTGTGGCTCCTGGTGGTCCCCATGTAATGTATCTGAGCGAAGGTGAGATTGGAGAAGTCTTTGAGTTCCTGCTGGTCCCATGTCTCAGCATGTTCAACCTTTGTGGGATGGCAGGAAAGGGCTGTGGTCATGGGGATGTCTCCAGCTCTGTAGGAGACTGGTGTCTTTGTGACGCAGTCAGCAGGGAGGGGAAGGGGCCCTGGGGACATAGGCAGGGAAGAGCCTGAGGGCCCTGTGACATTACTCACTCGTGTTGTTCCCAGTGCTGTTCCCAGCTGCAGAGATCCCACCTGCAAGACAGGAAAAGGGGCCTGAAATAGCAGTCACAAGCTTACGTTGAACGAGCTTGTGTAGGATGTCCCATGTGAGACAGCGTGCACTGTGGGCCCTTTGCACCCAACACAGGGTCCGAACACAGGCTCCATCTCTATCAAACTCAGCACCACGCATGGGCAGCCTCAAAACGCCCAGCCAGATCCACAGCACTGTCAGGATTCAGCCCCAATGCTCTTCCATCCTTCCTCATCCTCATTCTCCAGCCAGGCAGAGGAGTTGGGGCCTCTGTCCCTCGTTCCCCAAACCCTGGAGGCCACAGCTCAAAGGCTTGCCTAACTCCTTTTGCTAGGACAAGCCAAAGCCCATCTCTGAGGGACCAAGCTATTTTGGGTGCTGACCCAGGAGCAGCAAGTCTCTGCGTCTCACGTGTAACGGACAGCACCAGGGCCGCAGGACACAGGGTTGACTGCTTGCTGTCTTTGGAAAGAGCAAGGCTGACCCTTTCTGGGGAACATCCCAGCCAGAGCTACCACTCAGAGGAGAGGGCCTACCAGCAAGGACACAGTGCAGTGTGATCTAGTGTTCTATTTCCATCCCGTCTCCTGAATTTTTTCTAACTGAACAGGGCTGCTTTCTGGTTGATGTCCCAATGAAACCTTACAGAAAGGCAGACTCTGGGCCCCCATCACAACATCATTGAATATTTCCTGGGTCTGAGAGGAGGCTGGGGTATGAAACTGTTTGTAGTTTGGTGGCTTGGACATTTTCCCCTCTGACTGAGGACATGGATGACCAGTTCCTGCACCCATTGCCACTGCATGGGGAAAAAAAGACTTCAGCATCCTCTGGAGCAGTAGTCCTAGTCCCCCACTTGCTCTAACCACTTGGCTAGAGAGCCACCCACAAGCTCTCCATGTGAATATTTAATTGCTGTGCAATGGGGGTGATATAAAACAGGGCTGACATTGCGATGGCTGCAGCAGCAGATTTGAACTCCCCAGGAAGAGGCAGCACCTTAACCACAGTCTTCCACGGGGAAAGGGACCGAGATCTCAGCCCATCTGGGTCCACCTGGAGGTCACCTGCCTCTTTTGGACACAGGCCAGGCCTCTGTATTTACACTCTCCATTTTCTCATCTGAATCAACCAGAAACACTTTCCCTGCTGGGGCTTCCCTGGGATTTGGATCGCTTGATGGCCAGGAGGGCTTTCAACCCCAGGGACAATGGGACCCCAAAGGGCAAAGGCTGGATGCATGCATGGGGCTTGGACCTGTCATGCAGCGCAGGGACCAGGGTGAGCGCCTGGAGCCCCCAGTCCGCTGCCCCCTCGCACACTGCATTGGTCCCCCTGGCTGTGGCGCCTGTGCCCTGTGGTTTGGGTGCCTCGTTTCCTCCTGCTGCAGCTGTGCCGGAAGCACCAGCTCTGTTTACTGTGTCGCTTCAGTGCCCAGCTCCATCCGTTCAATGAACATCAGCTAAACCCCACCACGGGGAACTCTGGCACAGAGGTAGTGGTTGCACCACATCCCAGCACGTTCGGGCTGCTGCAAAACCCCCTCAGAAGAAGCTGTTATTCAATTGTCAAGCTTTGCTCAGAGCCCTGCGACCTTGGTACAGATCTGCTTGACCTAAACGGCACCCACATCCTCGCTCACCTGTGGGCTCCTCTCACTGCTCCAGAACCTCCCTCAGGACTGGGCTGCTCTGCTTTCTAGGTCCTGTCTATCCCCAACACCTACCTCCCTGCAGACAAACTCTCCCTTCCTTGTACATCTCTCCAGTCTTGTTTCATTTTTTTCTGAGATGGAGAGATGCACCTCATGCCAGTGCAGGGCTTGTGTGGATCAGGGTATGGCAGGGTTTGTCCTCCTGAGTTTTGCTGGTGTTGTTAAATGAACAACCAGGCTGATTTCTCACCTCGCAGCCTTCCCCCATAGCCAAACTTTCCACTATAACTGCAAGGGCTAGACACTAGCGAGCAGCAGATGGGCTAAGCTTCCCCTGGCTTTCCTCAAAGTCACCAGTGGAGGCTACAGAGATGTGCCCAGCACCGTGAGAGCCATGATAAAACCCCACAAGCCAGCAGATCTGGTGAGCCAGGACCAGGCCCTCAAATCAGCACACACTTGGGTGGTCGCCAAATAGAAATGCTGTAAAGGTTCCCCTGGGTGCACAGATTTCCCCAGCCTGAAGACAAGGGTGGGATCAGATAGAGGTGTCTGCAGAAGTCCCTGCCCTGAGGAAGAGGGGAAGCAGAGGGACAGGAGCAGGGGGCACGAGTTTAACTGTTGTTTCTCTGCACGGTGGCAAAGGGAACCAGCACTTTGCCTGCATAACTGGCCTTAGGCAACTTCATTAGCTCCTGGATGAGCTCCCCTTGCGGTTCAGGCCCAGCTGTCCTGTGGGTCTGCTAACATCACAGACATCCCATCTCAGCTGATGAGCTGGGCTGGAGCAGGCGCTGCGTGGGGCACTTGGCTGCCATGCTTCAGTGCCCCCCAAAGCACCCCGAAAGCCTCTTTGCTCCCACATCTCTGCAGCTCCTGGGTGCTGAACCCTGATGAGTAAAGGGACGTGGTTCAGCCACAGTCTAAGCAATGTGCTGGCCCCAGCCAGCTTGGTCTTGTGCCTGTCCTCAGGCCTCAGAGAGCAATACATGTTAAAAACCTTTTTCATCCCACCTGCATCCACAGCTGTGATGGTCCCACACCAGTTGGGTACTGGGGTTCCCAGCTATCGTGCCCACCAGCCAACCGTGACCAGCCCACCATGCAGCTCTGCTGAGAGGTCTCCTGTGTTGTTCGGGTGAGACCACTGCGTCCTGTGACACTTTCCACCTGCCTTGCACCAACGGGAAGTGACATGGCGCACTCCCCTAAGACTGAGCCATGCTTTCAGCCTGGCCCGTACGGGCCACCCCGACTCACCGCGTTGTGCTGAGCCTGAGGCATACTCTGTGCAAAAGGCAGGACTAAGAGTGTGGATTGCAAAGCTTGAGGCTAATTAATTCATTTAAAGCCATCCCTGAATGAAGTCTTCTATTACACTAAACCAGGTCCAGAGACATGCTGGCTGATCCCCTCAGTTTATGTTTCCTTGCATTTGCAGCTGTTAGACCCTCTCTAAATGCAAAGCCCATATTTGATTCCTACCTGTGACCAGGGCTATCACCCAGAAGTTCGCCTGGAACACCCAGAGTCTCTTGCAAAAAGCAGCCATATTTCACTGCAAACAGCTCATCCAGTCCCCAGTTCTGTAAAACACAGTGGCCACCTTGACCAGTCTGGCCTCTGTGACTAAAAATGGCAAAGCCGCTGCTCTGCAAGACAGCCCCTTTCCTGCTCATGTAAATTGAGTTCAATCAGCAGGGACTTTCCCCGGGGCCTGGTTTTGAATGCAGTGCAGACACTGGGGCAAGCCAAGCCTGTGCCTGCCCCTGCCCTAGGAACAGGGCTCGGTGGCAGCACACAAAGACGTTTGGCCTCATATTGTCAGGCTGTGCTCATCATGGCAACGTTGGCTGAAGAAAGTTCTCCAGGTGACCACAGTTTGTGCCCACAACTTGGAGACAAGCCCAGCTGCTAAACCCTCAGCGATGCAGAGCCCGCTGCCCATGCCACATTAGAGGGGGGCCACTGAGGACAGGGCAATGCCAAGGGACCTGGGTGCTACCTCTGGCATTGTTACCTCCCAGTGTGGGGCAGAGGATGGTGGTCACACCCCCAGCAAGGCAGGATTGGACCCAGGGCTCCCATGGGGTACCTGGCACTGCAGGTGATGAGGAACGCTCAGCTGTTTGGCCAGCAAACAGGGGTTGACACTGGCCTGACTGCAGGAGTCAGAGCAGTGTGTGAAGCACAGAAAAAGAGGGACATGGAGAGGGCTCGTGGGGCAGGATTTCACATGCTCTTTGCTCACCTTTTGCTCACTGTGGGCTGTAGCAGAGCTTGGTGCCCCAGCTTGCATCCTGCGCTACAGCTCCCTGTGCCCTGGAGAGTCCATGCAGCCGCTGGCCCAGGGAAGGGTCTTGTTGGGTGAAAATCAGACAAGATGAGAGATGGTCAAAATGCAGGTCTCACCTTCCTGGATGCCAGCTGTGCCTGGTCCTTCTGCACACGCCATTTTGCTGTCACAGAGACAGAATCACAGAATGGCCAAGGTTGGAAGGGTCCAAATCCCACCCCCCCACCCCGACCCCGGCTCAAGCAGGGTTCTCTAGAGCATATTTCCCAGGATCGCATCCAGGCGGGTTTTGAATATCTCCAGCGAAGGAGACTCCACTACCTCTCTGGGCAACCTGCTCCAGTGCTCAGTCACCCTCACAGCCAAGAAGTTTTTTCTCATGTTCAGATGGAACTTCCTGGGGTTCAGTTTGTGCCTGTTGCCTCTTGTCCTGTCGCTGGACACCACGGAGAAGAGACTGGCCTCATCCTCTCAACACCCCTCCCCTTCAGATACTTATACACGTTGATGAGATCCCCTCTCAGTCTTCTCTTCTCCAGGCTGAACAGGCCCAGCTTTCTCAGCCTTTCTTCGGAGGAGAGATGCTCCAGTCCCCTCATCATCTTCGTAGTCCTCCACTGGACTCTCTCCAGAGACCTTTCTCTCTGAGTCCTTTGGAGACAGCCACCATCTGTGGAAGTACAAAGTGACACCCAGAGTCACACTGTATACTCTTCTGTTCTGACACAAAAAAAAAAAAGCTTTCTCTTCATGCCATGCCACAGCACACCTCCCCCTGCACTTCACAGGCTGTTTCTGAGCACTGAACTGTAACTCCATGTGAAAAAAACACCTTTGGGTACTTTTGCCAGCCATGATGATCCCCAGAACCCATGTTTCTCCACTTAGGGCCTCCTAAAACCTTCAGCCTTCTGCAGATTTTTTTTGCAGTCTCTGAGCACCAGGCAGCTGTGGTGGGAGTCTCACCTTGTCTGAAAGAGGATGTGAAGCAAGAAGGATCAGAAATAAAAGTTGATTCCTAGAGCAAAAGTGGGACCATAAGAGAAAGAGTGGAGATGGGAGAGATGGCTTTTTCCAGGGGAGCAGATGTCTGTATTTACATGCAGTCAGCTTGTGTCCCAGTTGTAGGCAGGTCATGCTGTGCAAGGTGTTGTACATTGACACAATACTGTGAGCACGGACAGCCACAGGGTGCATCTATGCAGCAGTCAGGAGGTGTCACTGCAGCCTGGAGATGCACCCCCTGCATGTGCTTTGGGCTCTGCCCTGGCAGCAATGAAGCTGGCCATTGCCAGATAGTGAAGACAGCTTGCACAGGGGCCTCCTTTGCCTGCTGGGGCTGTGCTACTGAGTCCCTGATGCCAGCACCCCTGTCCTTGCTGAGGAAAGCTCGCATGGGCTGCCTGTGTCCCCAGCACAGCCTGGTGCGGCTTGGCCATGGCCTCTTGGTATGGCTGAAGTGATGGGGGATGCCCAGGAGGGATTTTATGAACCTCTGGGTTGGATTCATCTTCACCTGAGATGGACAAGGCAGAGATTGCTATCTGCTGCTGCTGCTGCACTGGAAGGCCAGCCCTATGGGATCTCCAAACGCCTTGTGACTCCCCTGCTGACCCTCTGGCAATCTAGCTCAGAAATAGCAAGCAATGAACCATCATGGGGCTGGAGATACTGGGGAAAGCCCTGTGGCACTTCATGAGGTAAAACTAGGAACGTGGCACATACTAAAGAGGGTTTGAAGTGACAGCAGACAAATCTATCCCACCACTCTGACTGCCATCTCCATAGCACCTGCTAACAGGTGCAGACCCCATGCAGGGGATCTGGTAAGAGGGTCCCATTTTCCCCTTGGAGGCCCCTGTGCAAGCCCAGCTCTTGCCCAGCAGCATGACGGTTTTGGGAGACACAGTGGTCTCACGGGGAGGGTCTCGTGGGTAGCATCCCCACCTCACCTCACCCCTTCCCTGGGGTTATTGCTGGGGCCATGTCGCTAGCTGCCCAGCCCCAGCCTGCAGCACCTGGTGGCTCCCCACTCACACAGTGCAGCAGTCCAGCTGCCATTCGAGTGGGGAGAGACAGCCTCTCAGAGATGGAGCAGCTGACTGCCAGGCAGCTGTATGCTTTGCTGGTCCATCCCTATTCATCATGGCTTGGGTTTCATCATTGCCCTTTCCACAGTTGGAGGAGGACACAGATGCAGGGTCATGCTGCCTCCTCCCTCCAGTGCACCACTGCTCCAGAGTGGTGATGTTCTCAACTTGAATTAGATGAAGCCCCAGGATATGTTCCAGGGAGAGACAAAACACAGCAGTGGGGCCCCATTGTGGTCCTCTTGTACATGGGTGGGTGCTGGAGGTGGCTCTGGCCTCCCTTTGACACAGAAATGTCCTTTGTCTACTGCTGCCATCTCCTTCCAGAACTGAAGGGCTCCTGTGCGGCTGGTGGGACCCAGCTCTCTCCTCCTTGGCTGAACCTACTCTAGCATCTCCTGCAGCCTGTGGAGACATCAAGGCTCCTTGCTGCAGGTTGGTGGGAGGCCCCGAGGAACCTGCAGACCCAACAGGAGTTGCCCACTGGCAAGGTAGAAGCTCTGGGGTCTGGGTTGGGTTGGAGGTGCTGGGGGGAAGTTTCAGCTCAGAGGTCTCGCCTGCAGGACAGGCCCCGATCAGGGCTGTCACAGCCTCTCCCAGCCTTTGAAGACCTGCTGCAGGTCTTGCTGAGGAGGGCAGCTTTCCAGGCAAGGCAGTGCCCTGGAGCAAAGGGAAAGGGCATTTGACAGTGGGGCAGGTGCTTTCCCACAGGCTTGACCTTCCCAAGGGTAGGAAAAACATTTCTTCCTCTAACACACACCAACACATTCAATAATGTAATAATAGATCATTTACAGTCATTTATTTTAAGAACTGTACAAAGACAAATGGCTTTAGCTCAAGTGAATTCTGCTCTTTGGCATTTTTCCATCACTGACAACATATACGTACAAGCAGCATTGATTGTTAACCACAATCCAGGCTGGAAACCGCTGTGCCATGGATGCTTCCCATGTAAACGCAATTTAAAGCATCATGTCACATAATAAATAGCCCAGGCTCCTATTCCAGGGAGCGTCACCCTACACACATTGAAATGAAAGCATAACACAGCATTATGTGATGAGCAGAACGACGCTGGCTCTGCTGCCTGGCCAAAAGCATGTGGATGCAAGCAAGCTTAGCAGTGCTCCTGGCCAACATAAACATGGATGACTGTAATTTCTTGGAGCCAAAATCTGTCCCCCCCCTCCCCCCCCCCAACCCCCAAAATAACAGACCCTATGGCTTCAGGAAGTAGCCCTTGTTTTAACTGGAAAAGGTTTTGGTTCATGTTTGTTTTGATCTCAAGTTTTTTTCCCTTTTTAAGAAATAAGACAATCTGGAAATGAAATCTTTGTCTGACCTCTGGGCCATCTCCATGTTTTCCCCATTTACTTTACTTTTGGCCACCCATATAAAAGGTGGCTAAAACCCTTTCCCCGGGCATGTTCTTCTCTGCCTGGACACTTCCTGGTAAGGGTCTGCCTGCAAGCAGCTGGCCCCAAGCCACCAGGTTCTGCTCATGGCCCCAGCTCTGCAGATACCCTGGCATGTGCCCCCATGCACAGAGATGTCTATGGAGCTGCGCGCACCCTCTCCACCGCTGCAGTCCCATCTGCACCAGGCATGCCAAAAACCAAAGGCGCTCCGACTCAGATCAGACTATAACACAACGTGGCCTTGGACAACACCACACTGAGCAAGGCAACATACGGAACAAGACACACGGCTCAGTACAACCTTCCCCTTGGGAGCCTTCATTGCTTTGGGCAAGGATCCCAGCTCTTGGTGGCAGATAGGATTTAAGGGTACCTGTTGAAGCAGCTCACTACAAATGCTGTTTAAAGGCCCACTCCGATCCTTGGGGATGCATCTTGTTAACTAACAGTAACCAAGAGTGTTTC